CTGCCTCTTATGGAGAGGGAGCGGAGGGCTCCAATATCATGGGGGAGAGCAATGACGTTTTGCTGATCACCGCTCCCCTGCCCAGTGATATGAGGGCTATCCTGGCGGCGTCCGTTGGGGAGGTAAATGTTCATTCCTCCGCCGATTGGCGCGAGTTGCGGCTGCGGGGCGTGATCTCCAGTAGTGATATTTCGCTCCAGTTTTTGCAGGCATACTCAACTAGGCCCCCTGCACAACTCCTCGCCGCCTTGTTTCCAGTACTTTGTGACCGGAATTCATGGTCAACCGGTAGCGTCAGTAAGGTGACCCTTGCCGAGGCCCGGGCTTCGGCACCGTTCCGGTCCAAGGAGGTCAGCGAGTCCCCTTGCCTGGGAGCCATGTCCAGCCCACCCTCCTTTGAGAGCCCCAGGTCGGGGGCCGGTGGTTCCACACAACAGGACCAGCGCTCAGTTGCACAGTCCTCCGCCGCTGGTGGGACCGTCTCAGAGAAGGCCAACCCAACTGAGAGGTCCCCATACAACAATGAGCTCGCTCAAGTCGCGGCGGAGAATACCGAGCGAGCGGGTCGCGCCGACTTTGCCCCACCGGAGGTTATCGCCTTCTCCCCTGCGGTGAAGCATCATATGAGCGGAGCGCACTGCCAGCATGTGCAGTGCTCCAGATGCGGCTTGGTTCGGCAGCTGCTCCGCACTGCGCAGTACGGGAATACAGGCCTTGTTCTGCTGCTGCCGGGGGGCCGCCCTCCGACCGCTTACCTTCGGGGTGGTGCGGGTCCGGAGTGCGATGTCCTCCGTTTGCGCCCTACGCTTTATGCTCAGCTTTCCAGTGGCGAGATGCCCGAGGCCGGCCCGTCAGCCGCCTCGCTGGCGCTGACCGAGGCGACTATCGAGCGCACCGAGTCTTTTCAGCTGGCACCTTGCGCGTATTCGATCGTCGTCGCAACTTGCTCGTCGCCTGTTTCGCCCAGGCATCCCTTGGCTCATGGCGGAGCCCCGTCCCTTCGGGCTTCTTTGATCGTTCATGCCACGGCCGCTCTTGTTGAACAGGGGTGATGCGCCATCATTATACCTTACATGACAGGGCGCGACATCACCGCTGACGAGGTCCGCTCGCTGCGGCCCAGGCTCATGGAGCGCAGAGTTCCGGTTCAAGCCCACGCAACCATGGTCTTCCGCCGCGACGACCGCGAGGGCCTGAGCACAGCGTTCGCCGGCGGCTAGTCCGTCTGGGGCAAGGCGCAAAGGGAAATGAGGATCTCCAGTGCGAGGGCGCGGCTGCCGCCCGCGGGAGTCGACCACGTACATCCACCACAACATGGCTCTTTGTGTTGGTACTTCGTCACTCAGCTCCCTTTGCGGGTTGAGCGGGCGCGTCGTACCTGACGCGGGGTGGCGACGGCAACACGGCGCTCAGGCCGCATCTTGGTGTGCTCTGCCCCCTCAGCGTTAGATCGGGGGGCCTTGTGCGTTCGCTTAAGGTGCTGCAGCGACACGGCGAGGGGGGCTGCTTCCTTGGCGTGCTCCGCCGCAGCGGCGTCTATTTTTGGCATTACAGCCGGTTCTTTAACACATGTGCTGGTGCTCCGCGGTCAGCTCCCTGAGGGTTGAGCGGATGCGGCGCACTCGCACGTGGGCCTGTGGCGGCAACGCGGCGAATTCGTCTGTTTTCTTGGCGTGCTCTGCCGCCTGGGTCCTTGCTCGGAGGACCCTGTTGCTTCGTTTGGGTCGCTGCAGCAACACGGCGGTTCAGGCCGCCTTTCTTGGTGTGCTCTGCCGCAGCTGCCCCGCCCTGAGCTTCACGGTAGGTCCTCTGACATCGACATTGAACGGGGGGCCCAGTGCCCCCGACCGGCGTGCCTGTCCATGTCCCTGGTATCTCGAGCCACTCGGCATGGAGGCGCCATGAGAAGCCGGCAAACAACAAGAGCTCCTCGCAAAGCCGAGTGGAGCTCGACGAAGGATAATGCCATTTTGGCTCAGCGCCAACGGTTGACTAGGAGGTTCGACACCCGCGCCGCTTCTCTTCTGCGATCTGACTGGTTCACCGGCGATAGCATCAAAGGCCCACGACGTACCAAGGGAGCGTTGGTTGGTTCGGAGGGGAGATCCTCTGACGCGCATTCGTGCTTGTCTTCCGCATGGCGTAAATTTGGGGTAGCCCCCACACCGTGCCGGAGGGGGGTGCCGTGGCCTTGCCATTGTGCCATGCCCCTCCGGTGTTTCCATTTGTTGGCATGCTAAAGGCAACAAAAAAAGCTTTCGGACGATCTCGGAGGCCTCTCGGGAAATCTCAGAGGCCTCTCGGGAGCTCCCAGGGATCTCGCGGAGATGGCTCGGGACGTCTCACATACCTCTTCGGAAGCTCACAGAAGCCCCTTCGGGAGCTTTGAGGCCCTCTCCAGAGCTCTCAGGGCCTCTCGGCAATTTGCACAGACCTCTGGGAAGGTCTCAGGGGCTTGTCGGGATGTTTCAACAGCTTGTCGGGAGCGTTGAGAAACCTCTTCAGGAATTCTAAGGGCTTCCCTGAAGCTCGCAGAGGCTTTTCGGAATTTGTCAGCGGCCGTGCGGCAGCCCTGATAAGCCGCTCGGAACCGTCTAGAAGCCCCTCGGAGGCCTTCACCAATTTTCAAATGCCCTCCGGAAGCTGTTCAGGTTTCAACGAATTCTGGGGAGTCTTGTGGATTCCTCAGACGCGTTCCTGGTGCTTTCGGATTTCCCTTGAATTCCTCGGGAGTTTTTGAACATCGTTCGGCGCAGGCCAATCCAGCCATAAGCCAAGTGTGATTGTTTAGTAGTTTGTATTCGGTTTCCGTATACCAATATTGCTGGCGTTACACTACTACCGGCTATAGATGGGCAGGACACTTCCGCTTGTAAAAGAAGGGTGGCCCTACTACTACTACTACTACTACTACTACTACTACTACTACTACTACTACTACTACGACTACTACTACTACTACTACTACTACTACTACTACTACTACTACTCCTACTACTACTACTACTACGGCTACTCCACACCACCACTACTACTACTACTGCTACTACTACTACTACTACTACTACTACTACTACGTACTACTACTACTACTACTACTACGACTACTACTACTACTACTACTACTACTACTACTACTACTACTACTACTGATACCACCACTACAACTACCACCACTACTACTACTACTACTACTACTACTACTACTACTACTACTACTACTACTACCACCACTACTACTACTACTTACTACTACTTACTACTAACTACTACTACTACTACTACTACTACTACTACTACTACTACTACTACTATTACTACTACTACTACTACTACTAC